CAACACATAGATAATATACGAATGCCAAAAATTGTTTCTGCCTGTCAAAACCTTCCTATCAAACATTCTCTGTCAGCTCTTTGCCAGAAGTTCCCACCAGGACTTCCCACGGCACTTTTCCTGCCAATAGATCCAGTTATTGTTTATGGTTATCATATCTCCAACATCTAAACTGGCTACATGCCAAGAAACCACGTTCAACCTCCTTTGAACACTATAAAAGTTGAGGACAAATTTTTGAAAATCAGGGAGAGGAAAGGGAGAAGAACTGGTGACTGTAGCCGAGAATCTCTGCCCACCTCCCCTCACCTTTTCTCCGCCACCGCGTGCTGCCTGCCTGCCACCGGAGACTGGAACTGTGCCGGCCTGGAGAGAGCTGAGACCACCGTGCCACATGTGGGAGTTCTACCTTGTCCTTCTACCCTGACCATATTTCTGAGGGCCCAAAGCTTCGGCTGAGCTGAGACCCTGCAGGGCCTGGGACAGGGGCGTGAGCGGTGAAACCACACATGGTGCATTGCAGAGAACTAAAGCTGTCAGACCCCTGCAGCTACAGAGATAACATCCAAAAGCTGCAGAGACAGAGAAAAAAAGGCAGAAACTGCTTCTCTTCCCCCATATACAGAACAGCTCAGTGGGAAAAAGAAGTTTTCGGTGATATCTTTTTTCTGCTTCTAGAAATAATCTTAGCAGTTTCCAACCTTTTCTTATTTTTCCTTTTTATTTGCATCTCTTAGCAATTAATAAAAATCAGTTTTTGGTATCAACAGATAAATTGTGTAATTGTGTGAGTTTTAGTTTTGCTTAAGGGAATATTTGAATCTCAAGTTCTTTCTGCAGTATTTAAGCAGATTGTAACAGGAGACCATGGAAAAGTGGGAGGAACAGGGAGAAGAGTAGAAAAAGGGAGGTGGTCTACACAGTCTGACTGTACCATCAGGGTCTTTGGGCTGAGGGGGTGGCTCCCCTGAGCTCCCAACTGACTGCGGGGTGCTGGGGCTGCTGGATCCAATCTCAGCCTTGGGTTATGCCAACACGTTCAGTTTAGAGGAATTACAGAGGTGGGACTGAACCACTTTTGGCCCCCAGGTTTTAAGGATGGCAAATCACATCTATTGATAGAAATGAATTATTTAGGGTTACAAATGATCAGACAAAAGATCTTCATCAGAATTATTTACTGCACAATACAAACACTAAAACTACCAGTAGGACAGCATAAGATAGGACAGTGCTCTACTCTAAAGCAATTGGTGAAGTAATTCTGCTCAAACTGGCACCAAAGCAAGAATTATGAATTAGAGATGGATGGAACTCCCCCAGACCAACGCTCGGGGGGAGATCTCTGCTCTCAACCTCCAGCAGTGACCTTGAGGGGTCCCAGCCAAGGCAGGAATCTTCACACACCCCAAGAAGGGTTCTGCTGGCACAACCTGCCCCTGGGAAAGGGGACTGGCCCTTTCTGGTAGAAAGGGATGGACTGACAGTCACTGGACTCCAGTGACTCACCTGTGGGGTTGCCTCACCATCAGGGGGGTCATTTGGGGTGGGAGCAGCGGCCAAAATTCTTCCCACAGTCGGGGCATTCCTAGGGCTTCACTTACCAGTGTGTTCGTTGGTGGGAGGTCAAGTTACCTCTCTGGTTGAAGCTCTTCCCACACTCCCCACACTTGTAGGGCCTCTCCCCACTGTGGATGTGCCGGTGCCTGACAAGGTTGCTGTTCTGTTTGAAGCCCTTCCCACAGGTAGGTGCAGCAGAAGGGCCTCTCCCCTGTGTGTGTCTGCTCATGCCTGAGAAGATCCCCACTGGTCTGAAACCTCTTCCCACATTGCAAGCACTTGTAGGGCCGTTCCCCAGTGTGGATGAGCTGGTGGTTGTAGAGGTTGGGCCTCTGGCTGAAGCTCTTCCCACACTGCCCACATGTGTAGGGCTGTTCCCCAGTGTGGATGTGCTGGTGTTGGATCAGGTTGGAGCTCTGCCTGAAGCTCTTCCCACATTCCCTACACGTGTAGGGCCGTTCCCCAGTGTGGATGAGCTGGTGGGTGAGGAGGTGGGAGCTCTTGATGAAGCTCTTCCCACACTCCAAGCACTTGATGGGCTTCTCCCTGGTGTGAAGCTGCTCAGGGACCTCCAGGTTGGAGCTCCAGCTCAAGCTCTGGCCACCTTCCCAGCACAGGCTGGGTCTTTCCTCCTCAGAGCTCCCTGGGCTGGCTTTGCAGCCCCTCCTCCGGGGGCATCTCCGGGCCTTTTCCTCCCCGCTGCCTTCCTGCGCCGGGGAGCCCTTCAAAACGGCCTCTCCCACCAGGCTTTGCCGGGGGGATTTGTCCTCCGTGCTCTCCGTCCTCAGCTCGGGGCCTGGGGCAGGAAGGAAGAAGGACAGGCAGGGGATTTGCCTCGAGCCCAGAGGGAAGGCCAAGGACATCCCTTGAAATCCAGCTCTGGCAGGATGGTGGTGCCAGCGGGGTTGTCCTGCAGCCGGGGGTGATGCTTGGCTGGGAGATGCACGACAAGACAGGGCCAAAGGGGCACTGACTTCCTCCTCACCTGCCTGGGGGCCCCGCAGCAACTTCCTCTTCCTCGCAGCCTATTCCTCCTCCATCCAGCCATGGTTTGGGAAGGAGAAATGTCGGTTTGGGGAGAAAAAATCGGGGTTTGAGGGGAGTCCCACCTGTGTCCACAGCCCCCTGTTCTGGTGGTTGAGCAGGAACTCAAGCTCTGGGAGTCCCCAGTGCCCCCTCAGCAAAGTCCCCCTGAGGCTCCTGTGGCACTCCCCCAGCAGCCCCCTCCCCAAAAACCCCCCAGAAGGGCGACCAAGCCCCGCCCCAGCTCCTTCAGAGCCCCCCCTCAATTCAGGGGGTCTCTGGGGGTCTGTTACCCACCCCCCAAAGCCGCTTCATGTCCACCGACTTCATTTCACCTCATGCTTGAAGAGCCCCCATGGCAAGGGCATTTTTTGAGTGATAAACACCCTCTTTGGGGGCCGGGAAGCAACCTGCTATGGGGACCCCACTGGAGCCCCCTGGGACACTCCTGAGAAGGATTAAGGGTGAATTTGGAGCCAAATTTGGCAGCATCGCATTTGGATTTTCTGCGTTTGGGGTGTGGACAGCTGGAGGGGTTGGGTGGCAGGGACCCCCTAGACCCCCCCCTGTACTTAATGGGGTCAGTGATGGTCGATAAAAGGCTGGAAAAAAGGGGGTTTGGGTTAAAAGGGGGGAAAGGGGGGTTTCCCCGACTGAGCCCCCCACAGGACACCCATTGTCCCCTCAGCCCCTGCCCAGATCCCCAATGATCCCCCCAGGACACCCCTCAATTCCCCCCCAAATACCCCCATTTCCCTCCCAATTTCCCTTTCCCTCTCCCACTGCCTGCCCTGCCCCGCCCGCCTCACCCCGCCCCGCCCCGCCCCGCCCCGCCCTGCCCTGCCCTGCCCTGCCCTGCCCCACCCTGCCCTGCCCGCCCCGCCCCGCCCTGCCCTGCCCTGCCCTGCCCTGCCCTGCCCTGCCCTGCCCTGCCCTGCCCTGCCCCTTCACACACCATTGGCTGTTGGGGTTCAAATTTCCCGCACTTGGCGCTGATTGGCTGGGGGGCCCAATGAGACCGGCGCTGATTGGCTGAGAGGAAAAGGCGGGAAAACCAGAGGGCGGGGCAGGAAGGGGGAAGGTCTGAAGAGGTGTGAGGGGAAAAATGGGGAAAAATGGGGGAAAATGGGGTAAAATGTGGGAAAATAGGGAATAATGAGGGGAAATGGGAGGGATATGGAGGGAAAAGGAGGATAACGGGAAGGAAATAGGGGAAAATGGGGTAAAATGGGCATAATGGGGGAGGGAAGGGGGTAAAATGGGAAAGAATGGGAGGGAAATAGGGGAAAAGGGGGGATGATGGGAGGGAAATGGGACAAAATGGGATTGTGAGGGGGAAACAGAGGGATATGGGGGAAATGGGGAAAAATGGAAGGAAAATGAGGGGAAATGGGAAGGAAGTGGGGGGATGTCGGGGGTGGACCAGAAGAGGCCTACAGAGAGTGGAGAAAGATGGAAAAAAGCTGCAAGGAAGGCTCAGAAGAAGAGATCTATTTAGAAGATTTCTAGCAACTGTAGCTGTGCAGAACTGCCTGGGAACCAGCTACAAGGCCGCAGCATTGCAGCCTCAGCAAGATTCCCCTGTCTGTGCACCCAGGACACAAACCCCCATTGTTCCCCTAGCTCTCCCTTCCCCCTGAGTAGCCTCACATATCCTTAGCCTATCCCTCCAAGTTCCCATATCAGTAGCTCTCAGGATTTGATGTTCCTAGCCGGGGTCCTACCTCTATTCCTGAACCTTCTGTATTCCCCTGTATATAAGCTGTCTTCTTGTTTTAATAAAGAGCCATTTTGTGGGTCATCTTCTGCGTGACTCGTCTCCCGTACAAAATGTGCCACTGGGTCTTGTCGCGGGACCCCGAAACCCGCGATAGTGCTGCTTCCTGGCTGGGACAGGCCTTGTGGCCACCTCCAAGCACCAGCTTCTCAGGGATCCCCACAGCTCCAGGCTCTGCCCATCCGCTCTGCTGCAAGCGTTGAGGCTCCAGCAGAACCCCCCAAGGCCAAGGGCCTTTGGGGCACTTTCCCCTCCCCACTGCACACCTGGGCAAGTGTTGCTGAGCCAAGGGCCCTTTGTCCTCTCTTCCCCGATGCCCTGTGGACACTGGGGACCCAAAAAAAGCTCCTGGGCCTCTGTGTATGAAAATATTTATTTACACTGGGGTAATAGGAAGGGTTTGAAGAGAAGAGGTGTCTTCCCCGCAGGCTGAGGTGGCCCCAGCAGACAGAGCTGCCTGGATCAACTCTCCTCCCAGCTACAGCAGCACAGGCGCACACAGCCCCACAGAGAAGGGCGCGTATTCCATGCCCTGCAGAGCTGGTCTTGGAGCTGCTGGAACCTGGGGTAGGGAGCTCTCTGCACAGCTGTAACAAGGCTGATGGTTTCTAGTGCCAGTTTTGAGACAGCAGGGCTCCTGTCAGCTCTCATGGACTTGAAGGGCTGGAACAGAGAGGAACAGAGCCAAGGTCAGAGCCTGGATTGGTGGGGACCTGAGGAGCCCCTCCTGCCAGGGCCATCCCACCCAGCTCTTGCCGTGGCCAGGAGGGAGCAGGGCCAAGTGGGATCAGCCAGAAGGTGCTGCCCACCAACACCCCTGTGCCCCTGAAATCTGTCTCTGCTCTGCCCATGCGGCCCCTCGTCCGTGCAGGGAGCAGAGCCCTCTGCAGCCAGGGCAGGACTGCAGCTCCCTGCTCAGAGTCTGAGCTCCCCTCACCAGCCCCCACTGCCCTCACTCACCGTCAATGATGAGCTGCAGCTCTTGGTACCGTCCCCTCAGGTACTTGGCGGCGATCCCTGGGAACACAGATCCTGTCAGGGCCCCAGGGGTGTCACAGCTCCCCACCAGTGGCACTGCCAACCCAACTGAAATGAGTAGTAGTGGTTTAATTTACTCATCAAATTAGTAATAGGGGCTTACTCATTAAACTGTAGTGCATGTTATATTCTTATATATATATGTCATTATAATCACTGTTCTGTTACGGGTAAGAAACTGTAAGTTGTAGAATGCTTCATTAATCTATCAGCATTGTAAGCTGAAAAAGCATGAAGTTTGCAGTTCTAAAGCTAGAAAGACAAACCATTGTGCCTTGTTAAGTAAATATTTTTGTATCTTATTTTTCTAAAAAGCTTATTGTCTCACAACACGCATAAAGTAACGAAAAAAAGGAGAAGGATTGAAGAGTCAGGAACTGAAACGATAGAGAATATCCAAGATGGACATCTGGAGATGCCTGCACGCTAGGCCTCAAGGTCTAGGGACTGATTGAAACTATGGGAGGAGAAAGCACCTGGTACCTAAAACGGACTTGCAAAGAAACCAACCAAAACCAGACCTGCAAACTCAGATCCAATAGAAGGAGAACAAGTAACTATGGGAGGCGAACTGATAAGGGAATAAAAGTTACTGGTTTTGATCACTGCGCTTGCATGCCATGAGTGGAGCAGGAGACTCCCCGGCCACCCAGCATGCTGTTTTGCTTATTTGCCTTTTCTATAAATCTTCAATAAATTTTTATTACTATATTTCAACTCAGTTTCATTTTACTATATAACACCACCTCGAAACAAAAGAGCAAAAACACGCTCACAGAACGACCACTGACAACAAGGGTCAGAGGTAACCTTGGATTCTGGCTGGCAGGAAAATTCTGACCTTGCTCGTCTGCACTCCGGTGCCGATAGTCCAAAGCAATGCTTGCATCCCACCTCGAAACAAAAGAGCAAAAACACACTCACAGAGTGACCACCGACAAGAAGGGCAGAGATAACCTTGGATCATGGCTGGAAGGAAAACGCTCACCTTGCTCGTCTGCCCTCTGGTGCCGATAGCCTCAAAACCGCCTGCATCCCACCTCGAAAGAAAGAGCAAAACCACGCTCACAAAATGACCACTGAGAAGAAGGGTCAGAGATAACTTTGGATTCTGGCTGACTGGAAAATGCTGACCTTGCTCGTGTGCACTCCGGTGTCAATAGCCCAAACCAATGCTTGCATCCCACCTCGAAAGAAAGAACAAAAAGAGGCTCACACAATGACATCTGACAAAAAGATCCTCTATGATCTGCTGAGCCCTCTCTGGCTGGGTTTGGCCTGTCCTGGAGAGCCTCAGGTCTGGTTGGGCTGCCCCAGGCAGACGCTGGAGGAAGAAGAGCCCAGGCCTCCTGTGTCTGCTGTCCCTGGGGCTCAGCCTGTGCCCCATTCCTGCCCAGGGGTTGAGCCCACCTCTGCCTCGGGGCCTTGGGCAAAGGGCTGGCGAGGGAGAGGCCCAGGAGCCTTGGGGCCTGCCCAGCTTTCCTCCTCCCTGGGGGCTCCCAGTCCTCTCCTGACACCCTGTTGGCCCCAGGACTTGCTGACTTTGGGCTTACGGCCCGCTGGCACCATCCCACCGGCCTGACCCCCCTCCTTGCCCTCTCTAAAGCCGCTCCTGACTTTTATCAAGGCACCATCTAAGGAAAACCCCGGTTATCAGAAATGGCACCTGTGGGACGGCTGCAAGGCTCGAGTCTGCCAGGCAAGAGCAGGAGCACAGAGAGCCTGAGGAACCAGGAGATGTCCTGGCTGGGCATCGTGCTGCTGTGGGAAGAGCTGACCCCTCTGCACAGTCTCTGCCATTCCTGCCAGCCAAGTTCTGCCCGGGCTCTGTGCACGGGGACAGAGCGCTGACAGTTTTCAGCCCCCGCGCTGTTCTACAAAGGCTGTGATGTCACAAGGCCCTTGCCTGGCAGCCAGAAGATGGGCAAGGCAAGGCAAGGACGGAGCCTCTGAGCCACCAGCACTCTGTCCCAAAGGCTGGGATGGCACAGAAGGCCAGAATCCATGAGGTTGGCAGAGACTTCAGAGATCAACAGGCATCCAGTCTACCACTCATCCCCAGGACGTCAAGCAGACCACAGCACTAATGTCCACTCTGTCCCTAAACACCTCCAGGCACGGTGACTGCACCACCTCCCTGGGCAGCCCATTTCAATACCTAATCCCTGTTGCTGTTCAAAAATTCCTGATCTTTTCCCCGACAATCATCCCCTGACAGGCAGGTCCTCACGTCCTCTTGCCCAATCGCCTGTTGCCTCGCAGAAGAGGCTGACCCCACCTGCTTCCACCCTGCTGTCAGGAAGTTTTGGAAAGTGAGAAGGTCAGCCCTGAGCCTCCTCTTCTCCAGTTGCCTCAGCTGCTCATCATAGGATGTGCACTCCAGACCCTTGCCCAACTCCAACAAACTCCAGCCCCTCAATGTTCTTCATGAATTGAGGGGCCCAGAACCAGACACAGCACGCCAGGTGGGGTCTCACCAGTAGCCAGTCCAGCGGAGGAATCACTGCCCTGCTCCTGCTGCCCACACTATTTCGGATACAGGCCCAAAAGGCCATCAGAAGAGCACTTGACCTTGTCGCTTGGCTCCCCGGCCCGTGGCTCTGCTCCTCTCAGAATACGGGTGGCCACTGCAAAGAAATCACAGAGGCAAAGGCACCAGGTGTGGCCTCAGCAGTGCCCAGTCCAGCGGAAGAATCCCTGCCCTGCTCCTGCTGGCCCCACTCTTTCTGATCCAGGCCAGGATGCCCTTGGCCTTCTTGCCCACCTGGGCACCCGCTGGCTCAGGTTCAGCCTCTGTTGACCAGCACCCCCAGGGCCTTTCCCACCCTTTGCAGCTTCTCTGCCCCAGCCTCAAGCTGCAGGGGGTTCTTGTGGCCAGAAGGCACCAAAGGCACTCTTGAACCTCATGCCCATGGTCTCAGCCCAGAGATCCAGCCTGTCCAGGTCCCTCTGCACAGCCTTTCTACCCTCCAGCACATCGACACTAACACCCAACTTGGGGTCATCTGCCAATCTGCTCATGGAAGATTCAATCCCCTCATGAAGGTCTCCATGAAAAATGTGAAACAAGACTGGACTGTTACCCAACAAGTTCTATTTCCTGACAAAGGAGCCCACGCAGCAGTGGGGAGAAAATTGTTGGCAGGAGATTGAATCGGTGAAATAGACAATGGATGATGGACCAGGTCAGGGGGCATCCTTTGTTAGAAAAACAAATGGAAAGTGTAAGGCCTGTCATACTTCAGTGGTCATAGACCAGAGAGAGAAAACAATTTTTGGGACTGGGACACAAAGAATGCAGAATTCCTAAGCCATAAAGACACAGAAACCAGAGATGAAGACAAAACTAACACAGACAATCACTGAGACTCTCCCTAGCCAGGGAAAAATAAGAAAAGGACAAAAATTGTGGACTAAGTATCCTGCAAATAGCCAATAGAAGAGAGAATAAGAATTAATTCAGAGAGTTACAGACCTCATAAGGCAATGGACATTAATTCCTTTGTTTGCTCAAATGTATAAATAGTTCAAAGTTTTGAGAACTGATGTCCACGTGTTAGAGAGCAATCCCCATGTCCCTTCAACTCTTGAACCTAACCAGCTGATCAGAGATTTTCTTCCCTGGCTTTTGCTGACAGTTTCTGGGGACCCAGATGAGACAAAGTAGCCCTGGCACGGCAGACCAGAGGAACTGTTGGCCCTGCAGCAGGTACCAAAGGAGTTTTGGAAAGATCTTCCAATTGCCTGGTCTGGAGAGTTCTCCACGCCTTCTTTTCTGGGAAAAAGAACAGGTCATTAATTTAGGGTGCTTGATTTTGAGGTTTTTTGCCTGTACATAAGGCACACCAACGGGAAGGACGCAGTGTGAGGCTGAGAGGTTTCTGCCATGGTTTGTGGGCTTGGGTAAGATTGGGAGATATTTACAGGACGTCCATAAAATCCTGGCTTTGGGAAAGGTTGGGAAAGGAGTTAAAAGGTGGTTTTGTCTGAGGTGTAACACATAGCAGGGGCGTCTATCTTCACAATTCCCAAGACAAGAGATGGCAGAAAGCTGCCCTGCAGGTTCTACTTTAAGGAACAGAAGAAGAGACCGAGGGTAAGGGGTTTCTCTCCTGGAGGGACGGGCTGTCGTTCACTTGTAGGAGCCCTGCACTGAAATTGCCAGTCCAACTCACAAATTTGACTATGGACAAAGATTCCTGCCAGACAAAAGATGCCAGGACAGAAAGCTCTTGCTGCCCATGGAGTGCCTAGGGTGGCCCACCAACTGCACCTAACACCCAAAGGTTGTGGGCTTCCTTTCCTGGGGGAAAGGGCTGTCGTTCCCTTGTGGAAACCCCACGCTGAAATTGCCAGTCCAACTCCCAAAATTGAAGACAGACCAAGATTCCTCCTGGACAAAAGCTTCCAGGACAGAAGGGTCTTGCTGCCCATGGAGTCCCCAGGGTGGCCCACCAGTTGCACCTGAGAGACTGAGGCTATGGGCTCTCTTTCCTAGGGAAAAGGGCTGTCATTCGCTTTTTGGAGGCCTGCTCTGAAATTGTCAGACCTACTCCAAAATTGAATACCGATGAAGATTCCTCCCAGACAAATAATGCCAGGAAAGAAAGCTCTTGCTGCCGATAGAGTACCACGGTTGTCCCACCACTTGCACCTTAGACCCCGAAAGTAAGGACTTTCTTTTCTAGGGGAAAGTGCTGTCATTTGCTTGCAGGAGCCCTGTACTGAAATTGCCAGTCTGACTTAAAAAATTGAACACGACTGAAGATTCCTCCCAGGTAAAAGGTGGCAGGAAAAGAAAGCTCTTGCTGCCCATGGAGTGCCCAGGGATGTCAACTGCATCTGAAACCCAAAGGTTAAAGGCTTTCTTTCCTGGGGGAAAGGCCGTGACTTCACAGAGTCCCCTGGCAGATGGGTGGGGCTGCACTGTGGGGTTGTGAGGTGTTGGTTCTTTGGTTTCCAGGGGCTATTCCAGAATGCAGAAGATAGGCTGTGACATCACAATGGGCCTCATGGCACACCGGTGGGGCTTCATTCTGACCTATGGGGTGTTGGCTGCTTGGTTTCCAGGAGCCCATTCCAGAAACGAAACTACAGCCCATGACTATGGCGTTTCGGGTCACAGCAAGGGTGTTAAAAAAGCATTCTGGGAGTTGTGGTCAATGTGTACTCCATCACAAAAGAGCAGTGGAGTGTTTGTTTAGGATTGGTGCCCCCAAGTCCTCGTGTCACTGCCTCCAGCAAGAGGTGCAGCTTGCAGCTCCCACTGCATGGCACACCTGCAACAGGGAACAAAAGCTTTCAGTGGCATTTCTGACACTTCCCTGGACCCCTGCTCCTTTTTGATACCTCTCCAACTCATCTGGGATGCTCATTTCTTTCCAAAGAGTGCCGGGCTGGCACCTCAAAAAGGAAGAGGGCAATGATTAAATGCACAGCCCTGAACTACCCTGCCATTGCCCACAAGGCCAGCGCCAAAACACTCCGGTGCCGATAGCCCAAACAAACACTTGCATCCCACCTCGAAAAAAAAGAGTAAAAACACGCTCACAGAATGACCACTGACAAGAGGGGTCGGAGATAACCTTGGACTCAGGCTGGAAGGAAAATACTCACCTTGCTCGTCTGCCCTCCGGTGCCCATAGCCCAAGGAAACGCTTGCATCTGTAATAAGTAGGAGTAGTTTAATTTACTCATCAAATTAGGAATAGTAGTTTACTCATTAAATTGTAGTGCATGTTATATTCTTTTATACATATATATGTTATTATAATCACTGTTCTGTTAAGGTTAGGAGACTGTAAGTTGTAGAACGGTTCATTAATCTATCAGCATTGTAAGCTGATAGGCATGCAGCTTGCTGTTCTTTAGCTAGAAAGACAAATTTTTGTGCCTTGTTGAATAAGTATTTTTGCATCCTTTTTTTCCAAAGAACCTATTGTCTCTGCACACATTAAGTAACGAACGGAAGGGCAAGGATCAAAGGGTCAAGAACTAAAACGATACAAAGAATCAAGATGGACATCTGGAAATACCTAACACACCAGGTTTCAAGGACTAAAGACTAATTAAAACTATGGACAGGAAAGCACCTGGCAACTAAAACGGGCCTTCAGGGAAAGCAACCAGAACCAGACCTGCAAACTCGGATCCAATATAAGGATAACAAGTGACTATGGGAGGGAAACTGATAAGGGAATAAAAGTTACTGCGCTTGCGTGCCGTGAGTGGAGCAGGGGTCTCTCCAACCGCCCAGAATGCTGTTTTGCTTATTTGCATTTTCTATAAATCTTCAATAAATTTTTATTACTATAGTTCAGCTCAGTTTCATTTTACTTATAACATATTCTGGTGTCATGACTCGGACCAGCAAACAGAACAAATTTAAAAAAACACTAAACCACAACCCTGCAAAGCTGGAAAGCAGCACAGGCAGCCCTAAACTGATAGGATGAATCCAAAGTCTTCACTGATTTACACACATGAGGTAATTCTACCTCAAAATGGCTCGGACAAGAAAACACTGGATAACTCCGACTTGAAGATTTGAATCTTACCCAAGAGGCTTCAAGCAACAGAGTGGATTTGCTTATGACAGACAACATGAATGAGCTGCTCCTCCCTTCCAGCACAACCAGCTCCTCCAAGGTCTTACAATGCCCTTGGTAATTTCCCAGCAAACAACCAACTGCCTGGATTAGGCACAGAATGCCAAGCAGGAACTCCAATGCACCTGCCACAGAGACGACTTCTGGGCAGAAAGGACAAATCCAACTCACAACAAATGGATGGCTCTTTGCTTTCCTTCTGACAGCAGCACTTGAAACACTTCCTCAGCACGTAGGCAAAGATGACGAAAGGGAAGGGGATGGTCGGGTGACTGCAGTATTCCTGCACCAGGAAGTAACGCTGGAACTTCCACACCTGGTCGTTGTTCTCTTGCACTGATCCAACCGTGTAACTAATGGGTGAAGAAACAGAAAACACCCCCAGGATTAGATACTCAGAGAGCCCCATCAGAGCCAGGGAATACAGCATTTCTGTGCTGCACCAGGGCATGGTTTCACAGAGCCACAGAGTCACGGACTGGTTTGGGCTGGAAGGAACCTCAATCCCTCCCCAGGACACTGCACCAGCTTCCATCAGACTGCTGTGAGAAATGCAGAGCCCGAGGGCTGGCTTCCTGCTGTTTTCCAGGACTCCATTCCCCCTCCCAGAGATACACTGGTCCAGAGATCCCAAGGAAGTGATGGCTCCTTTCTTACGTACCCAAACATGGCCACGAGCAGGTTCACGAGGAGGATGTTGGTTGAGAGCATGGAAATGCAGACAAGGGGAATGGTGATCCACTCGGGAAAGCGGGGCTGGTTGTTGGCATCCAGCTCCACACACAGGGGCTTGGACTCGTTCCCAGAAAAGGTGCAGCGGTGAAAGTTGTAGGTGGTACCTCAGAGGGGAGAGCAAACTGTGAGTCCTCTCCTCCACTTTCTGCTGGGCTCTGCTCTGACCACAGCTGGTGTGGCCTCCTCCCTCCCTGCCTCCCCATCAGATCTGGAGGCAAAGGGTCAACACACAGGTCAACACAGGCCTGGACAACCTCCAGAAGGACAGAGCCTTCCACCCAGCCACCCAGCAGAGATCCCCCCAGGAGGTAATTACCATCCACATCATCAGGGTACTGGCCAAACATGGCCAGGTAGGGCTCGTAGATGACCGATCGGAAGATCCACTCCCAGCAGTGCTCGTTCTTCCTCAGGATGCCTTGCCTGGCCACTCCAAAGGCCACCATCCACACAGCAAAGAGGAAGGGGAAGAAGAAGATGTCTGTCATCTGAAAAAGAACAAGCATCAGTGCCCCAACCGCACGTCTGCTCCAAGCCACGCGTGCTCCCGATTTCACCAACACACATCCACAAACAACTGACCATTCCCACAGCACAACCTCTGTCCCAGTGGGGCCCTCCCTCAGCCAGCACAGGGAGCTCCAGCACAGCCAGAGCCCAGGGAGAATCGCCCAGCCCGGCCTGTTCTCTCTGACAGAGCTCCTGAGCTGGGAAGATGGGGCTGGGAGTTCCAGGCTGGGCTTGCTTGGGCTTTGCTGGGCTGGCCAAGGGCTGGGAGCTGGGAGCATTGGGGCTGCTCCTCCAGCTCCTGCTCTCACCGTGTTCTCCTCCTTTCCCTTCCCAACCCCACTTGCACCCCCCACGGCACATGGGGTTTTACAGACATCCCTGTAACTCCCAGCGGGTTTGTCCCTGTGTTCAGGAATCTGCCCTGAGCCAACCCCTGGGGTCGTCTGCTGGACCTTCATTTGTTTGGTGTCAGAATCCCCGTGCTGAAATGGTCTGTCTGAGTCCCCAAATGGCATAAGAATGAAGATTCCTCCCAGAGAAAAGGTGAAAGCACAGGAAGCTCCATGTGTGCATGGAGTGCCAAGAGTGGCTCACTGTGATGGTTTTGGTCTAGGCCTTCCTGATGACCAGCTTGCAAACAAGGAAGTGGCCTTGTACCCAGTATTCCATACGATTTTTACGTAAACCAGAGTATGAATAAGTTGTAGATCAGAGACCTCGCTCTCTTCTCTTCCTGCCAGGTTCAGGGCAGAGGGTCCTTGTGTTGGTCTCGCTTATCTGGAGCCTGAGGCCTTCAGTGACCCCTGGCCTACCACGTGGGAGATTGGAGAGTGCTGGCCGTGTCTGCCAATCCTGCTTTTCTAAGGGATGTGGTGAGATTTGTTTTGCTAGTTATTAGGATAGTTCTTGAGTTTGATTGTGTATATCTGTTCGGTGTCCCTTTTTGTCCACTTTTGTCCCTTTTCCCCTTTCCCTTTCCCTTCAGGGGGTGTTTGGATTCCCTATGCTGTGTACATAGCATCTTAACTGTATATAACTGTAACATACGTAAATATATATGTTTTTATGTAATTAGCTTGATTTGGGGTTCTTCAATTTTTTATAGTTTTTTTTCCTTTGCCCTAAGGGAAGAAAGGAGAGGGAAGGGGGTTGCTACTGTGATTTTGGGCATTTGGCAGGGAGCCAGGTCCGAACCATCACACCCATAAACCTCATAATGGTGCAGGCCCCATAAAGCCCCTGTCCTCATAAAGCCCAACAACCTCATAATGGGGCTTTCATCATAAAAGCTCTGTCTTCATAAAGCCCATATGTGTCATAATGGTGCTGTCCTCATAAAGCCCATAAACCTCATCAGGGGCTCCCATGATAAAGGCCATGTCCTCATAAAACCCCATAAACATCATAAAAGCTCTGCCCTCATAAACCCCAACCACCTCATAAAAGTGCAGGCCTCATAAAGACACTGCCCTCATAAAGCCCATAAACCTCACAATGGTGCAGGCCTCAGAGAGCCCAAACACCTCATAAAAGAGCTCTCATCATGAAAGCTCTGTCTTCATAACACCCTTAATGTCATAATGGTGCTCTCCTCATAAAGCCCATAAACCTCATAAAGGGGCCATCCTAAAGTCTCTCTCCTCATAAACCCCATCCACCTCACAATGGGGCAGCCTCAGAAGGTCTCTGTGCTCATAGAACCCATCCACCCCATAATGGGGCAGCCTCAGAAAGGCACTGTCCTCATGACCCTCACACACCTCAGAATGGTGCAGACCTCATAAAGCCCCTGTCGTCATAAGGCCCATAAACCTCCTCATGGGGCTGTCATCATAAAGGAGATGTTCTCATAAATGCCATAAACCTCTTAAAGGCTCTGTCCTCATAAAGCCTGTGAACCTCGGAAGGGGCTCTTCACATTATAAAGGCTCTGCCCTCATAAACACCATAAATGTCATAAAAGCACTGTCCTCATACACCCCACACACCTCATGACAGAGCTCTCATCATAAAAGATCTCTCTGCATAAAGCCCATGCAGGTCATAAAGGTGCTGTCCTCAGAAAGTCCATACCCCTCATAAGAGGCTCTCCTCATAAAGGCCATGTCCTCATAAACCCCATAAACGTTGCTGCCTAAAAGGCTGCAGAGGAAAAAGACTCCAGGCCCAACTAGGTAGGGGTCAGAGAAGCAGCAGAGGTTTCCATGAGGCTCCAGGAATACAAACCCACACCCATCCCTTCCAACGCAGGGGTTACAGTTTTTATAACGATTTCCACCCAATGCCCGTCCCGTCCCCGCCCCGGTTCTGCCCCGCTCTGCCCCAGGAACGCCCGTGGGGAATTGAGTCTGGGGGAGTTTGGAGCTTTGAGCCGCTGCAACTACAACTCCCGGCGTGCCCCGCGCGGAAAAGGGGGCGGGGCGGGGTCTCTGCCGGCGGTGCGCGCGCACAGCCCCGCGGTGGCTGCCGGGAAAGCGATGGCGGCGGCAGCTGGATCTGCTCCGACTTTGTGAGCCCTGGCGGGGGCTGCGGCGGGGCTGGGGATGCGCTCGGGGGCTGCGGGGAGCGCGGCTGTGGGCGGGAAGGCTGGAGGGCTCGGCAGAGTGGAGAGGAGGGCCTCGGGGGTTCCCGAGGAGGTTTCGAGGTCCGTGAGGGGCTCTCGGGGGGTCGCGGAGGAGATTTGGTGTCCTGAGGGCGCTCAGAGGGGAGGGTGAAGGTGCCTGAAGGGGTTTCGGGGGTCCCTGAAAGGGCTGGGGCCATGGAACCCCCTCAGGAGAGAGGTTTAAACGCCATGGCTGCACTGCGCAGGCGCCGGCGGAGTCCCCATAGGCGAACTACAACTCCCATAAAGCTCTCGCGCGGCGCCGCCATTGCCGCTCGTGCCACAGCGCCCCCTGCCGGCTGGGCGGACCGACCGCAGGGAAAGCGGGTCCTGATGCCCCCCCCGAACCCCAGAGACCCCCAAACTCAACACACAGAGACCCCACAGGGAGGGGATCCTAGGGGTCCCCTAAAGCCCAGCAGTGGGGTTTAAGGGGTCTCCCAGTCCTCAGGGGAGGGGTCCTGGCGGTGCCACCCAAAGTCTTGTGAGGCAGATGAACCACATGTGGGTAAGGGGATCCCAGTGCCCCCAGTATAGCCCAGTGACCTCCCAGTGGCTCTCAGTATGGCCCAGTAATCCCCCAGTGACCACCAAGTGTTTCCCAGTGACCTCCCACTGCCCCCCAGTACAGTCCAATGATCCTCCAGTGAGCACCCAGTAACCCCCAGTATGGCCCAGTAACCTCCCACTGTCCCCCCGTGTGTCCTGGTAATCCCCCAGTAATCACCCTGTCCCTCCCAATGCCCCCTGGTTCTCCCCAGGGGTCCCAGTATCCCCCAGTAATCACCCAGTGCTCCCCAAAGCCCCCAAGTTTCCCCCACGTGTCCCCAGATGCCCTTGACCTTTCTGTGAGTATGGGGGGATGGGGCCATTTTGGGGGTCAGAGGGTCCAGGGGGGTCCTTCTGGGGGGAGATGGAGGGTTGGGGACATCAGGGATGGAGTTTGGGGACAGTGGGGAGGGGTTTGGGGACAGTGGAATGGGGGGTTTCAAGGGGGGAATTGGGGCCATGGGGAGGCCCTGGGGACACTGGAGACACCAGGAGTGTCTCAGGGTGCCAAGTGGGAAATTGAGGGCACCAGGAGGGTTATGGGGACCCCAGGGGGGTCTCAGGACTCACCTGCTCATGATGCTGCCCCTCCTGTCCCCACCAGGCCCCAATAGCCCCCCCCAAATGTCCCCTAACCACCATTTTTTCTTTAATTCCCTCTCCCCACAGATCCCTTTTAACCCCGAATGCTTCCAAGACCCCTTTTAACTCGCCCAAAATGCACCCAGAGGTTTCTAAAACGCCCCAAATCCCAATCAAACCCCCAGCAAAGAGGGATCACCCGGCACCCTGGGACAGGAGCACAGTGGGCTGTGCTGGGGGCACTGGGCTGTACTGGGAGGGCACTGAGGGGGCACTGGGCTGTACTGGGAGAGCCCCAATCCCCAAAGCCCCTCCCCTGGGCATCCGTGCCCCGGTCTGGGAACCACAGCGGGGTTGGATCAAGGGGTGCACTTGATGATCTGGGAGGTCTTTTCCAAGCCGGCTGATTCTGGGATTCTCTGGGTGCCATTGCCAGGGCAGCACATGCTGGAGGCTCTGTCCACAGGGGATAGATGTGTCTGTGCAGACACAGAGACAAGGGCAGTCTGCAAAGATGTGGGGTTAGAAAAGCAGGAGAAGTTGTGGGGTGGTTGTGGCAGGAGAAAGAAGCCCCCAGGCCAGTGCAAGCAGGCCCCCCTGGGCTTGCACATCATCTGCCCTCCCTGCAGGTTCCTGTGCTGGAGAGCAGGCCCTGAGGTGTCCCTGAGCAATGGCCCGGAGGTGAGCCCAGAGCTGGCCCTGAGGTGGCCCTGAGAAGAAGCGGAAGGCAGAGGTGGTGCTGAGGCAGGAGAGCCCCGTGCTGGGGAAGAGGCTGAGCTGGGAGTGCCCAGCAGGGAGAAGGTGCTGTGTCCATGCCCTGTGTGCCAGGTGAGCTGGGGCTTTGCTGCAGAGCTGCGGGCGCTGATTGGAGCGGCTGCAGCTGCTGAGCTGGTGGCCCCCAGGAACACAAAGTGTGCCCGGCCACGGAGCCTGCAGGGAGGAGCAGGGACAGGGTCAGGGCCACTGTCAGCCCGGGGCTGGCTGGGGAGACACAGCAGTTTTGGGGTCCCCCTGGGAGCTGCCGAGGGTGGAGCGGGCGATGCCGGAGCTGGGGGACCCCCGGCAGGCTGGAGGGGGAGCACGGAGAGGGAGGAGCCCCGGGACCCCCGGGAGCCTGAAACGGGGGGAGCGGAGGGGAAACCTGGAGAGTGGGGACCCCTGGGACAACAAGGTGGAGAACCTGGAGAGGGGGAATGTGTGGGAAGGCGGCACCCCAAAGGTGAGAGTCAGAGGAGAAGGGACCCTTGGGACCCCCAACACTCC